ACAGCAAAGTGAATCAGCTCTACGTATATATTGAACATATATTCTATTCCTTTTAATATTCTCTTCCATTATGGTTTATCACAGAATATTGAATACAGTTTCTTGTGTTATACAGTAGGACCTGTTCTATATAAATGATGGTATCACAGGATACACTATTTTTATGTCTGATTTTTTTTTCAGCATAACTTTGAAATTTATCCATGTTATTGTATGTAGTAATAGTTGATTTCCTTTTTACTGCTGAGTTGTGTTCCATTGTATGGATATACAATTTGTTCATTCACTTAACAAGGGTTTGGGTTATTTCCAGCTTTTGGTGGTCTTTTGGTGGTCACAGACAAGTCACTTTGAACTGGACAACTTTTTTTTACGTCTATTTTTAAATCGACTTTACTGAGAAATTTTATAAAATGTACTGTTTAAAATGACGAATTTTAATTTATTAAAATTAAATTTGAATTTGAATTTAATGAATTTTAACACTAGTTCCCTTGTAATTAACACAAAATCAGGATTAGAACATTGGCTTCATCGCAAAGGTTCCCTTGGGGATTTTTTTCAGTGTCTCCCACTCCCCCATCCCTAACAACCACTAATTTGCTTTCATTCTAGAATAAATTTGCTATTTGCAATTCCTATAGTTTTGTAGAAATGGAATTGTACAGTAACAATTTTACTTTGCTTTTTTCCTGAGCATGTTTTTAGATTGACCCATGTTGCAAGTATGTTCATTCCTTTTATTACTGAATAGTATTTCATAACATGAATTTACCACGATTTGTTTATCCATTCATGTATTATTGGGCATTGGATTGTTTCTAGTTTGGGGCCATCATGCATAAAGTTGCTATAAACATTCATGTTCAAGCCTTTGGGCAGACACGTTTTCACTGCTTCTGGTTAAATACCAAGGAGTGAAACTGCTGCATATAGCAAGTATGCATGTGCAAGGGAGTGTGCTCCTTGTTTCAATCGTGTCTGACTCTTTTTAACCCTATCGACTGTAGCCCGCCCGGCTCCTCTGTCTATGGGATTCTCTAGGCAAGAATACTGTAGTGGGTTGCCATACCCTTCTCCAGGGGATTCTCCTGACCCAGGGATCAAACCAGCAGTCTCTTGCATCAACTGCATTGGCAGGTGGATTCTTTAACACTAGCACCATGCATTTAATTTTTTAAGAAACTGCCAAACTCTTTTCCAAAGTGGTTACACTATTTTTATTTTATACTCGGACTAGCAATATGTGAAGGTTCCAGTTCTGGATGTTTGACAACACTTGATATTTAAAATTTTTAAGGTCTTTCAAATTTTAGCATTCTTACGGGTATGTAGTAATAACTCATTATGTTTTCAATTTGTATCTATTTCCCTGATGACTAATGATGAGCATCTTTTCATGTTCTTATTGGCCTTTCATGTATCTTTCCTAAAATGTGTTCAATTGTGTCATCTATCCTTAATCAGGTTGTGTCTCTTACTATTTTCGAATTGGAGTTGGTTGTATAATCTGGATACCAGTCTTTCCTCAGAATATATAATTTCATATATATTCCCACTGGGCTCAAGCCACCACGGTTCTCTGTGCTCTTTCTTAAATGAGACCACATCTGTTCTCAGTCTTTTAAAAACTCTCTCTGTTCCCTGGAATTGCTGCTCTTCAGATACACACAGAACCTGCTTCCAGACCTCCTCCAGTCACAAATGGCCCTTTTTGGTGAGATCTTTCTTGACCATCCTATTTTAAATACTAATACTCACGGCCTGACATTACCCCCTATTCTCTAGTTTTTTCTCCACAGAACATATCTATACTATTTACTATTTATCTGTCTTTTTGTTTAAAGAAAAGTATTGACCCAGATGAGCCCCCAAGCATAAAAACATAGAAGAATAACAAGTTAGAATAACATGGAAGAAAAACACGCGTTTAGCGGATGACCTCTTTCGGAGGCTGATATACCAGGGATGGCATCAGACTTGTGAGCCTGCTGGATGAATGAAGAGGTTGTACCTGTCTCAAGTACCCGAGGCAGATCGCCGAGCGCTCTCGGCTGTAGGAGATCCTGGCCAAGTAGACCTCACCCAGAACAAGAAAAAACTGAGTCCTGTTTGCCTCGAAAAAAACCTGTCGAATCTCGAGCAGCGCAGACATATGTAGAGTTCATCGGAGCCATTACTTTCCTTCTCACTGGACGAAACAGGATGTCTCGTTCAAGACCAAGCGGCTTAAGGACGCGGCGAAAACCCACACTCAGCTTCCGGTCCGGCCGGAGGAGCCTCGCCGCCTCTCTCATCGGAAGTGGCGAACGGAGCTCCTGCTCCCCTTCGGGTCAGCAGACGCGACTGACGCCGGCGAAACACTCTGTGGAAGGAGGTAGCCGAGAACCTTCCTCCGACCCAGACCTGCAAAGACGCTGCAGGGTCGGGCAGGGCGAAGAAGGAGCGCAGCTGCGGCAGATCTCCCGGAAGTCGAGCCCTTTGTTTCCGTGGGGAAGATATTACGAGACGGACGGGTACGCGGCGGTGAGTACTCCAGGCGCCACAGCGCTGGCCGGGTCGGGTGGTAACTGGAGACCAGTTATTTTCCAAATGATACCTGTGATTCCCCGCGCCCTCGTTTATGGAGCGTTTGCCAAGGTCGGGTCCTGGGATGCAGCCCGGTAGTGATCGGCTCAGCCTCCCTTCGAGGGCGGACGATGAGCCTGAGACTCCCCAAAGTTGTAACAGAGGAGCTCGTAGAATAGGAGACTAGTCCTGGGGTCCTGGGAGCGCTGGTAAATGGGCTCTTACTGGCCAGTCGAAGGGAGGGAGGATTAATTCAGAGTAACTGCCTGTCCGAGGGGGCGTGCTGGGTAGGGACTAGGAGTGGTGACAAGCTGGAAGGGCCAGTGCGGCGGTGGGGGAATGAGCGCGGTCTGCAGGGGTGCGCTAGGAAGTGGAAGAGGGAGGAAGGTCTCAGATCACAGAGTTTGGGACTCCGTGACATAAAGGGACTTTACAGCAGGGCAAAATTTGGTGTACATTTTGAAAAGATCGCTTTGACTCCCGGGTGGAGGTTGGATGATAGGAGGGAAGGAATTGTGAGGCGACCTCTTCTAGGAGGTCACCGCTGTCGAGAGAAGGTGGCCAACAGCGGTGGCAGAGTAGGTATGGGAGAGAATTGGACTCTTCAAAATGATACTTAAAAATTGACAAGAGTTTTGTTTAAGATATGGGATTTGAGTGGGAGGTAAGTATCCAGCGATGGTTCGAAGTTTCTGACCTAAGTGAGTGAATTATATAAAACAAACCAAAACCATTTTTGACGTTTGATAGGCGCCCTTTCCCCCGTACTGTAAAAACAAACACCAGAAAAAAATGGTTTCCTCCCTGGTTATATGTACTCGTTATCTTTTGTGTGCTCGCTGTAGAAAATTCAGAACATGCAAAAATATTTTTTCTAGAAAAGAAAATTATCTGTAATTCTGCTACCCAAGATGGCCATATTTTGGTGTGTTTCCTTTATGTTTTTGTTTTCTGAGCTCCCCCCTTCTTTTTTTTGTAGAATTGGGTATACATTCTATGTATATATATTTTTTCCATTGGTTGTTATCATGATAATAAAGATTGGGTGGCCCTGCTGTGCCAAGACATTATTCACAATTTTATTTTTCCAGATTGTAACAGAAAAAATCAGATATAATTCCAGCAAGTCAAAGATAACATTTTGTTGTTTTTTTCAGTAGTTTTCTTTTTGTGTACATTTTAAAAAACCCACACATTATGCCACATTTTGTGTTTTGTTTTCCAATCAGATGTTAAGTATTTAATGTTATTTATTACTATATTTACGCAGCCTTAACTTCTCTTCAAGACTACAGGTTTTAGTGGTTGATCAATAAAGCCGCTGTAGTTGGGCCTGTTACTAGTTAGGTAGGTTTTCAACCTTTTACTCTTAGGATGATAAGAAAAACATCTTACTACATAAATCTTCAGATTGCCAATTTGTTCCTTCAGAAAAATGGTGGAAATAAAACTTCCTAGGTAAAAGGATAAAGTGAACCTATATAAAATTGCCTCACCTAAATACCTCTTTGAGACTTTAATTGAAATTGTTTTAAAGATTATATTTTTGCAGTGGTTAGTTTTTTCGTTCAAAGATAGATTATGTCTCTCCAGTTATTTGTTGTTTATGCTGCTTTTATGTTTTTGTATATACCCTGTCCTTTTCTTGTTAAATTTGTGTCTATAAAGGGTGTTACTATTTTATTATTTAAGAATTGTACCCTCTAGGCTTAAATTCCCATGTATGTAATGAATATCTTTGAGTTGTGTCATACTTTCTTCTTTAAGATTGTTTTCTGCCTTATATTTATGTCTTAGTTAAGTTGCTCAGTCGTGTCTGACTCTTTGCGACCCCGTGGACTGTAGCCCATTAGGCTCCGTCCATGGGATTCTCCAGGCAAGAATACTGGAGTGGGGCCATTTCCTTCTCCAGGGGATCTTCCCAACTGAGGGATCGAACTCAGGTCTCCTGATTGCAGGCAGACGCTTTAACTTAAACTCTGAGCCACCAGGGAAGCCTATATTTATGTCTAGATTCTGCCAAAATAGAAATAAAATGGTGAAGTTAGAAAACTAAAAAGACTAAGTTGGAGTGAGGTTCCTTAATGCTGTAAGTAACCTGTGGTCTAAACAGCATTTGGTATTCTGCTCCTAGTTGCCTGTTGAGAAGCTCCCCCTCACCCAGAGCCTGCCTTATCTGTACAACCAGGGGACCCAGTGTTGCCCTTGATCCTTTCCCAGGAAGGAAGCTAGAACAGCTTAGCAGGGTTAGGAAAACAGTCTGTCATGAGGCTGCCAGATGTTTGGGGGTGGTTTTTTCAAGTTTAACAGTTCTACATCTTATTATTAAAGTTATAATACTTTAATTGTGAGCAAGGATATTTGTTAGTGACTTACAGTTGTTAACTTTTGGTCTTTTGGTCTTGTGCAGTAGCATCCTGCTTATCTATGAAATGCAGTTAACACATCAGCTGGACCTATTTCCTGAATACAGGGTGACCCTTCTTTTATTTAAAGATGTAGAAAATGCTGCTGGCTTGAGAAAAAAGGCCATGGAAGGTGCCATTGATGGCTCATTAATAAACCCTGCAATGGTAAGTACTCATGGCAACGAGTGAGCTTTAAGGGGAGTTTTAAGAATCTGATGATTTTTCACGGTGTTATGGGTTAGCCCAAAATTGTTATCTTCAAGTGAAAAGGACTTGTCTAACCTGTAGAGTGGATTCAGATTTGGCCAGCCTTCAACTGAACAGTGAATAGAAGCCAAGTGCTGAGCCCTGCCCTAGGAGACGTGAAAGGTGGTCTCCCTCTGATATGATGGCAGATGCCTAGATATCCATCTTCTTGTCTGACCTAGAAAATCTCTGTAAAGGAGGCATTGCATAGTGGTAGAATCACCAGGACTTAAATCCCAGTTATGCCATTTATTATGACTTTGAGCATGTGGTAGCCAACCTTTATACAGTGCTTATTTGGTAGGTTCTTTATATATACTGCTAACTCAGTTAATCTTCACAACAACTCTATGAGGTAGTGAGATGATTATCTCCTTCTAAACGATAAAATGCTAAGGAATTTGCCCAGGTTCCCTTGGTGGTAAGTGGCAGAACTGAAATTCCAACCCCTTCTTTGCCTTGGTTTCCTCATTTATTGCACATGAAAAATAATAAAGGTATCAAATAGGGTAGTTTTGAGTAGAATAGAAAATAAAGTTTAAATGTTGAGAATATGGCCTTTCCCCTAATAATGGTCCTCAATAAGTTGTTTCAAAACTTTTTGTATCTTAATTGCCTGCAGCTGTAAAATTGTGTGATTTCTCTAAACACCGAGGCCCTTGAGATTTTGAAGATTTTGAAAATACAGAAATTGTGATGACGTGGAACAGCCTAGCACTGGAGTCACCGTGGTACCGGGCGTTAGCCTTCAGAGTCCTCCGGGTTCTTGTGTGTAATTCTTTTTGTTCTCTTTGGCAGATTGTTGATCCATTTCAGATAATTGTGGCCGCAAACAAAGCAGTTCACCTCTACAAACTGGGGAAAATGAAGACAAGAACTCTATCCACTGAAGTTATTTTCAATCTTTCCCCAAATAACAATGTAATTAATATGGAATATATACTTTCTTTATATCTGTGAGCTTGTCATGGTAGCCTGTGTGTGCCTCAGTGTTGGCTTGGAGCCTGTTGCTGGTAACCAGTCAAAACAAGCCAAAATGAAGAGTGAGTTCTGGACAGAGAGTTGAGGTTTAGCATTGCCTCCTACTAGACAAATAAGCTTTGGAGTCACTCACGTGAAGTTTAGCTGAATTAAGTGAGGATAGTTTTATTTGTCCTTCCTGACATAGAGAGTCAGGAAAATGCTATTTAAATCTAATGATAAAAAATGAGGCACGGGTATTTGTGAGTTGCCATGCACATCTTTCATTCCCCCTATAAACTCTTCGAGGATAGAACCATGTCTTTTCCATCTACCAGAAGTCTGCTTGGTACCTAGACTAGCTCTTAACACATGCCCATACACGCAGCACATAGGAAGAGTTTGTGTTTGAGATACTGTTAGTAAAGTTTTTGAGTTAAAAACATTCCACCTGGGTGTATTTTTTAAAAAACCAACTAATTTTGCTGATGAAGTTTAATTATTACTACTACTAAACGCAATCAAGTGCTGAGATAGAAAGGTTAGGAAACCTGTGGCATGGTTTAAAATACAGATGTTTGAAAAATTTATAAAATGTGTAGTAATAGAATTCCCCAGTATCTTGGGGAAAATTACTGGGTAATTGTTTCTTTGAGATCACTGAAATAACTCAAAAGACTGCAATTCATAAACATGTGTTGAGCTTGTCCCTGTTCCAGTCTAGGGTCAGAAATGTTCCCGAGAAAGGCAGATGAACAAGACAAAGTTCAAATGCCGTAAGATAATTTATAATGGAATAATAATGCAAGTCTGTGGGAACAAAGAAGCAATTCATTCTATAAGGAGGAAAGTGCTAAAGGAGTGACGTTTGAACTGGACCCTTGAAAGATGAAGGCAGTCCAGGTAGAGGACAAAGTGCGGGCACAGGCAGGAACAGTATGAAAGGATGGGAGCCCCAAACAATCCTCACTGGCTGGACGGCAGGAGTGCGTGGCTAGAGGGTCACTGGGTCCAGGGGGAGGGGCATTTGTGCATCCAGTCAAAGTCAAGGCTCGATTCTATGGGAATGAGGTGCAGCTTTGAGCAGGGAGTACTCTAGAGGCAGAGGTGGTAGAGATTAGGAAGGGATGTTGCAAAACTGTAGGCAGAGAGAACCAGTAGGATATGAAAAATAAGAATCTGACCAGGAAAGGCTGCAAGTGGGGAGAGGTTTCAGATGTTGAGACTACTGCTTTTATTGTCTTTTTCACCCCTTAGATTTCAGAGGCCTTGAAAAAATTTGGTATCTCAGCAAATGATACTTCGGTTTTGATTGCTTATATTGAAGAGGGTGAAAAACAAATAAATCAAGAATACCTAATATCTCAGGTAGAAGGTCATCAGGTTCCTCTGAAAAGTCTCCCCGAAATAACAAATATTACAGAAGTCAAAAAGGTTTGTAAACCCATATTTTTAGAAAGAGCATGATAGATGTGGAATAATATACTGTTTGCTTATTGATCACCAGTGCTTCTATATTGTTTTAACTTTTAAGAAAGGTTAATATAATTAAAAATTACTTGAAAAATGATTAGAGATGCAAAGAAATGCAGATTTATTTAAGATATAATTAGAAACTTAGTTGATAAAGACATTCTTTTAAAAAGGATAACTTTAAATATCAAGCTTACATTTGAAATGTAAAATATAGTATGAAGTTAATGTCTAGATGTGTGCTTTTAAAATTGGTACAAATGTTTTGATGTTTAGAGAGTTACCACTATAACTTCAGTTGAAACTTTTGATATAAGTGATGAGTTGCTGTCTGCTTTGCATACCTTAATCACATTGTGATTCCATTCCATTATCCCAATAATTGAGTAATAAATTAGGTCACATATATGTGTTTAATGAAAATTAGTAGTGCATGAATATGTCAGCATGTCATAATCTGTCTTTTATGCTTACAGGTATATAAACTATCTTCACAAGAAGAAAGTATTGGAACATTATTGGATGGTATAATTTGTAGAATGTCAACAAAAGATGTTTTGTGAAATGACAGAAATATTAAAAAATTTTCAGCTTTTATAAAAAACATTGTTTTTTCTAGATCATAAAATCTATTATGTTGTGTTGTAGAAAGTTTTAAAACACAGAATGGTAACAAAGAAAAAAAACCACTCCTGGTTGTACCTCTTCATATTTTTTTCTTTTATTTTTTAAAAATTTATTTATTTCTACCAGTTTATTGCTACCAACCCATCTCCCTCCACCCTCGTGCACACACGCTCAGTCATGTAATCCCATGGACTTCAGCCCGCCAGACTCCTCTGTCCATGGATTTTTCAAGGCAAGAATACTGGAGTGGGTTGCCATTTCCTTCTCCATCCTCTTCATATTTTAAAAGATAATCATGGATACTATTGTCTTCTGTTTCTGTCCAAATATATTTTATTTTTATATAATTGGAATAATTGCAGACATTTATTGAATGTCTACAATATACTAGGTTCTTATCTAAATGACTTTATATCCATCAACTCATACTCTTAACACTTAATTCTGGCTACTCCAGCATCACCGTTTCAAGCCTCCTGGTTCCAACTTTTTGTATGCAGGAATTCATTTAATTATCACAGCATCATATGAAGTAGATTACTCGCATTAAAAGGTTGTACAAATAATAATGTGCGCAAGGTCATACAGCTAAAAATCATGTTTTATAAATGGTTTGGGATTTTTTTTTTCATATTTTAACTTAAAATATGATTGTGTCAGTCAAGATAGAGTAGGTTACAGGCCCTGTGTTAATGTTTTGCTAAGTTTGCTGGTTCTTAGTCTTTTCTATGCATGGGCAAACACTTCTTTTCTGAAATATTTGAAAGTGAATTCCAGACCTTGGGGCACTTCACCCTCCATTGTATTCAGTTGTCATATCTCTCTCAATTATTTTTTAATTGAAGGAGAATTGCTTTACAGAATTTTGTTGGTTTCTGTCTTATATCAACAGTCATGTCTCTTTTCTAGAACTATTTTTTTTTTAAAAAGGTGATGTTGATATTTTTTGAAGAATACCCCAGATGTCTTTCAGAATTTTAGAATGAGTTTGTTTGTGATGCGAGTCAGTTTAAATATTTTGGAGAATGATAGGTAGATTTTGTGTCCTTCCAATTTTACATCGTTGGGAGGCACATACCGTCACTTGGCCTCTTCACTGATGATATATTTGGTCGCTTCGTTAAGGTGGTACCCCAGACTTCTCCATTATGAAGGCATCTTTTCTCCTGAAGCTTAGGGAGAAGTCAAAGCTGCCCTAAAGCTCAAAGTGCCTGTGGTTAGGATTAAAACTCCAAGTGACCCCTGATTCTATGCTCCTAATGACTCCACACAGCCATCACTATCAAACATGTTCTTTGTCAAAGTGAAGCTTCACATAATGTAATTCTATTTTTATAATTAACATTGCTTTCAATTTTTCATTTTGCTTTTGCAAGTAAATCTCTGTACATGTCTTTTTCTGTAGGATAGAGTCCCTGAAGTGGAATTACTGGGGAAGAGGATATGAATTTTTAATACCAGAAAGGTGCCACTTCACACTTGTAATAGCAGTGCACAAGTGTGCCAATCTCAGCAGACTCACCAACAGTGCCTTTAAACTTCTCACCATTTTCACCATTTTGAAATGTCAGACTACTGGTGAAGTTGAACTGTGTTTATTTGTTATGAAGAGTTTTGAAAGGGTTTATACCTGTAACCATATAGATGTTTTTTTTAACTCTATGAGCCTTTGGGTGAAGAAGGCAAAAGAAGTAATGCCATTTCCTGGGAAAGAAGTTAACATAAGGTCCACAAGCTTTTCCTCTTAAAGAAGTTGAGCCAATTTAGGAATAATGTTCTTTGTTCTTAAATTAACCAGTTTGCTTCAGAGCCTAAACGCTCCCCCAGCAAAAGCAACCAGTGATTATAGGGCCTTTGATGCTGGAAGAGAAGGAATGCAGTTTGGCAGGCCACCCTCATTTGGCTCCTTGGTCAAGGGTTACAGGATTAATAAGGGATACTAAGGCAAAAAGCCAGCTGTTGCTAGGATAACGTGAGGGAAAGGGGCTCTGACACCCAGGCAGTCGTTGCTCCCCATCTCCCCAGTCTTGGGAACAATGTAAGCTGCCCCTACAGTGTCAGAATCTTTAATCCCCTGCCCATCTCCCCACCTCACACTCGGGAAAACTACAAGAATGCTCCTAAGCACTGTGTCTTCTTTTTAGAAGGAGCCCTGGGGCTCACAGGCTGTTTCAGGCCACCTGCTGCCTTTCTCATTTTTGCTTTCTCTTTGGTGACCTTTCTGCTTGTCTGGAAACCTGGGACCTGTGCTAGGGTTGCGGCTGCTTCTCTGCACCTGGTTTTGCTTTGCTGACTGATGTGCTATCGGCACTCCGTGGTACAAAACTGGGTAAGGCACAGCTCTCTAGGTGATTGGTCTCAGAATGAGACAAGTTTGTATTTTCATAGTCCTCTGTGCCCGTTATCTGCCATTGTTCCCTCCAGCTCACTCTTCATCCTCTCCTCTCCTCTCTGCCCTGGAGGCTGACTTACCATGTACACAGCCAGAGGTCCTTCCTTCCCCTTGGCTTCTGCTTGGGTTTGGCCAGTGTGTGGAGTGGGGAGGCTAGCAGGAGAATGAGGCCAAAGGTATTTATTTTCCTGGCCCCTCGCTGCAAGGATCCCTAGGCTGGCTTTGGCCTTGGACCTTGCTACTCAGGGTGGTCCTTGCTACTCAACTTCTGGGTCAGGTTCCTGTCCCCTCACCCTCCTGCCTCACTTCAGGCCTCTTCAGCATTAACATACCTTGTTCCCCTTTACCCACCACACCTTCATAATTGGGCCCTTTGGTGATCTATATAAAATGAGCTTGGGTTATCCTAATTTGAGTGTTGGGGCCTGATAACGCCTCCCTTTTGTTAAAAGGTTAGATTAGAAGTATTTCTATAGAGCTACAGTCACTGTTCCAGTATTTCTGAACATCTTGCCAAGGAGTGACCTATCGGAGCACCTTCTTTCCTCTTGGAAACAATTTGCTGTTATTCGTCTCACGCATGTCCTTTAAGTTATGAGTGCTCAGTGGGAATCCAGGGCACTGACCTGAAGCTGGCTTACTGGGAACCCTGATGAGAGATCAGGGGAGATGATGTTCTTTCCAGGACACTTTCCTCCTCTTTCTGACTTCCAAAACACTACACCACTTGATTGTCTAACTTTCAGTTCATTGACCCATTTCTGGGCTTAGCTGGTCTAGTATGCAGGTGTTCTTCATAAATGCAAGCATGGGATTTCATTGACGTGCTGCTCTCATGTCCCACAACTCTGGGAATAATAGTGATTCCAAAAATATAACTACCTATTATAATCAGGTTCCTATGAGTAAATAGAAAAATAAAATAATTTATCAGGTTACTAGTAACTGTTTAACTGTTACTAAGTTAACAGTTTTTAGCAAGTAACAATAGCAATATAAGTGCTGAATGAGAAGTGCAAATTCTTCAAAGGAGGGAGCAGATACAAGATCCATCTGGTTGGCAGGTGTCAGAAATCTTGATGGAGAAGGTAGCACTGAACTGGACATTGAGCCTTAGTCACATACTGGATCTTGGTCAAGTATGGCCTGAACACAGGGCCGTGATGAGGCTTAGAGATGAAGCTTGCATCCCAGCAGACCCCTGGTTCTGTTGGCATACAGTGCTTTATACTAATTAATAATTCAAACACTTGTCAGATACCTGCCTTTTGGGGTCAGCATGTGGTACTAAAAAGCAAAATGTTCAGGCCTTTGAGTAAAAACTGCCAAGGCTCGGGTGCCACTCTCATGGGTAGGAGATCTCAGGTTTGTGAGCCTCGGCTTCATGTGTGTAAAATGGAAGCAATATGAGCCTTAGCTCTTAGATGGTTGTGAATGTCAAATAGTACAGCACAGGAAAAGTGCTTTTCTCACAGTGCCGGGTATCTAATATCTTAGCAAATAACAGCTGTCTGTATGTACCAGGCATAATACTGAGGCATACAGTAAAGTAAGACTCGCTGCTGGTGGGAAAGTAAAACTTAGGACAACGGTTTGGCAGTGCCTCAAGCTGTTAAAATAGTTACCATATGACCCAGCAATTCCACTCCTAGATATATACCAACGGAATTGAAAACAGGTGTTGAAACAACCACCTGTACAGAATATTCATAGCAACACTATTCACAATAGCCAGAATGTGGAAACAAGTGTCCATCAGTGGATGACTGGATAAACAAATGCGGTCTGTCCTTTTGATGGAACATTATTCAGCTATAAAAAGCAATGAAGTGCTGATACCTGCTGGGACATGGGTGAACTTTGAGAACCAAAGTGAAAAACTAAACATATAAGTTCACATATTGTGTGATTCCATTTAAATGAAACATCCAGAATAGGTAAATCCAAAGACACATCAGGCTAGTGGTTGCCGGGGGTGCAGGAGCGGTGGAAATGGAGTGACTACCTACCGACTAAAGGGTTTCATTTTGGGGTGATGAAAATGCTTCAGAACAAGACAGGTGGTTATACAACATTGTGAATATACTAAGTGCCACTGAGTTGTACACATTGGAATGGTTAATTAAAAATAACAGAATAACACACCTGCCTTACCTTCAAGAATTCACAATCTTTTAATCGGTCTCTTTAGACTGACTCTTAAGAGTTGTCTGAAGTACATTTGCAGCAATACAGAATATCATGCTAAGTGAAGAAAGTCAGAGAAGGACAAATACAAATACCATGTGAGACCGCTTGTATGTGGAATCTAAAATAGGACACAAATGAACTCATCCACAGAACAGAAACAGACTCAGAGAATAAACTTGTGGTTGCTATGTGGGAGAGGGAGGGAATGGGAATTTAGCAGGTGCAATTTGTTCAGCAGATGCAAACTGTTATACACAGAATGGATAAACAACAAGGTCCTACCGTATAGTACAGGGAACTATATTCAATATCCTGTGACAAACCATAATGGGGAATACGAAAAAGAATGTATATGTATATCTGAGTCACTTTGCAGCAGAAATTAATACATTGTAAATCAACTATCATTCAATAAATTTTTTTAAAAAGGAGTTGGCTGAGGCAGAGACAGATTCCCAAGCCTCAGTTTCATCATTTGAAAGCAGGGTCAAGAGCCTGTAATGTGCCGAGACTTCTAGACTTGCATCTCTTACACAGAGAACTACCCGTAATTCCTCTATCCAGAGATAAATGCTGCCAATCTTTGGTGTAACCATTCAAGACTTTTCTCTCTGCATGCTTGTGAATATAAACTATTATTGTTATATTTTTTCAAAAATGAAAACATACTGTTTTATAACCTTTTATAGCTTGACAGTTATTTTTCATGTCAGTAAATCCTCACGATCACTATTCATGACTTATGAGGAAGGTTAAAAAGCCTAAATGTGAACCAAGGTCACTGGGCTGAAGAAGCCACAGAAGTTGGTGAGAATACAGGAAAGAGAGGGTGGGGACAAACAGGACATCTGGCCCCTCAGCTTGACCATTAGGTTTCTGATTGGTGAATACTAGAGACTCATTAGGGTTACTCAGCTATACTTTGGAGCTTTCTATTATTCTCTTTTGGTTCCTTGTTCAAATTTTGCTTAACGTTGAAATGTTAAAAATGGCACCTTTGCGGTGATCTCTTTCACAAGTCTGGTCTCTGAAGCATCCTCCTAGTTGCTCTTGCCAGAAACCTAGCTGTCATCTCTGACCCGTTCTTCATCCTCAGATTAGCATTAATTTGTCATTTCTGTTCCTAAAAGACACTAAGAGGGCCAGTTTACATCCATGGCCCCATTCTGGTCCAAGTTACCGCTTTCTCTTGTAGGATCCCGCTAGCCTAGACGGCTCCTTTGCGAACATAGAACAAGTCACCCCCTTCAACACCGACACAACCTGCTGGACACGCAGTTCAGTGGGCAGTGACACCTTTGAGCAAAATAAGAAAAAGATGCCTTTTTTTGGTCAGACTCAGCTCTGTGCCAGGGCTTGTGGATTTTAGTTCCCACAAGCCTTCCTTGACAAGGTGATCTTGTAAAGTGAGCATCTGCGTATCTATCTGTATCCAGAGGCCCTTGTGCTTGGACCACTGCACTAGCCTCTAGCGGGCAGGGGGATATAGACTTCCATTCCAGGCCCTTTCAGTCCATTTTCCACAGGTCACCAGAATCACACACACATACCACACAACCCACCGCTACCTCTGGTTATTACGTCCCAGCTAAAAGAACAGCAGTGGGCTCCTGATGTTCTTAGGGCCAAAACTTCATAACCTGGATGAGATGCCCCGCATGGGCAGGGCCCTGCTGCCCTCACCCAGCAATGGAGGACTGTGTATACTGAGCCAGCAGAACTGGACTCTGGCCTGTGATGACAGAGCACAGGGTGAGGGGCGAATACTCCACACCAAGGTGCCAGGTGCACTGCCGTGGTTGGGGGTGTAGGCCGGCCACAAGGGCAAGAGCCCCTGAGCTGTTCCAAACCGTGTGACCCCTCCAAGCTAATGCCCTGGAGTTCAGAGAACAAGGAATGGGCTTCCTGCTCTATCAGAGCCCAGCCCCTTGAGCTTTATGATTAACAAATATTCAGAAGTCAGCCAATGAGGTGCCATCCAGGACCCGGGCCCCAGAAATAGAACAGGCCCCGCACAGTCTCTCCTGGATGCCAGTCAGACGCTGAGGACAGAGGCCAGGCAGAGGGAGGAGCCCTGGACACTCCAGGCTCTTGTGATAGCAGGTGAGAGGACATGGGTGGAAGGACAGTGCTCTCAGGTGTGGCCTGGAGCTCTGGACTTGCCCAGCCTTCAAGGCTGGATCATTTTTGGTGTTGCGCTCTCAGCAGCCTGAAAATCTGCAATCAAGGGGGAAGGAACATTTGCTGTTTCCAAGTCTTTGTACTTGGAAAAACAGGCTTCCCCTAGTGTATGGGCCCTGAAGAGAGGGACCAAAAGGAGGAGGACACATGCGTGGCTGCTGCATGAAGCGCCAGTGTATGGAGAAACTGAGGGCTAGGGAATGGGGAAAGACGGGGAGGGTACTTTATAATCAGAGCTTTGTTTATGCTATTTCATTAAATCCTCTGAGCAACTTCAGAAGGCAGATTCTTAGAGATTATATAACATGCCCAAGGTCATGCATGAAGCCATGATCAAATGCAGGTCTTTCGGGCTCTACGCCTTCTCCCAGCGGCTGTGGCCTACTTCCTCTTGGGTAGAAGCAGAGAGACACATCTTTGAGCAGGGTCTTCCTGGTTCTGGTAGGTGGGCCACTCACATGGCTTCCTCTTTCTTCCCCAGGGCTGCTGGGCAAGCATAAGGAGACACCTAGCTCTCTCTTGAACTTCAAGATCCAGACAACCACAAGTCTTCTATAGCTCCCTATCACATCCGCAAATACCAGGAAAATGACCGCAAACGGGTCATAGATTTGTTCTCTATGGCGAAGGCCGAGCACATTCCTGCCACCTTCCTCCACATCCTGAAGCTGCCCCAAACCATTGTGCTCTTGCTTGGGGGACCCCTTGCCGTAATCCTAGTCTCTGGCTCCTGGGTTCTGGCCTTTGTGGCCAGCCTCGCCCTCCTTGCTGCCCTGAGGTTCCTTGCCAAATACCCCTGGAAGTGGTTTGTAGCCATGTCTTTGCACACAGACATGTCTGACATCACTAAATCTTACCTCAGTGAGCGTGGCTCGGGCTTCTGGGTGGCTGAGTCTAAGGGGCAGGTGGTGGGCATGGTGGGAGCACTGCCTGTTAAGCAGCCCACCCTGCAGAAGCAGCAGCTGGAGCTGCTTCACCTGTGTGTGGCCCCTGAGCACCGAGGTCAAGGGATAGCAAAAGCCCTGGTCAGGACTGTCCTCACGTTTGCACGAGACCAGGGCTATGGCGAAGTGGTCCTGACCACCAGCATGCTGCAGCACTCTGCCCTGGCCCTTTACCAGTGCCTTGGCTTCCAGAAGACGAGCCAGTTTTTCTCACTCAAAAGATGGAGGCTAATTTCTCTCTCTCAAATTCAATTTACCTACTGCCTCCCCTCTGCTCAGGTCTCTCAGGCGCTGGAGCAGGGAGGGGGCCTGTGATCTGCTTTCTAGCGGATTAGTCAGGAGGAATCAGCTCTGCTGCAGAAATAGGCAGCCCCTGACGTCTCAGTGTGACGGCCGGGTAAAAGCTTATGGCTTTGCGTAGTGGTGCTTGGGGTGGGGTGGCTCTGCTCCACTCAAGTCTCTTGGGATTGCTACTGTTTCATTTATCTAATGCCAAGAGGTTGTTGCATGAAAAACTACCACAAAACAATAATAAACCTTTTTCTTTGGCTCATGAGTCTGTGGGTCAGCAGCTTAGGCTGGGTCACCCCTTTGGTGTCCAGGTGTCACGCCGGGGACCCTCCCCACTTTCAGTGAACGGAAATGCAAAATCATATGAAGAGGGCGTGGAGAAGGCACGTGAGAAGAATCCACGTGAGAAGGACTGGGGCCAATGATACCATCAATCTGTTATGGTTCCCAAGGTCTTTGCTGAAGGGGAGAAGGCAGCCAGGGACAGGACTAGACCCAGAAGTGGCACTACCTGCATCTCTCTGGCCAGGACCAGGTCATGATTTAAATCCAGCTACTGTTGTCTCCTGAGTTGTGTCTACTAAAGGCTAGTGGCCCTGAGGGAGGCTGGAGTGAGGCGAGGACGTGGCTCTGGGCCCAAGGTGCCTGTGTCTGCCGTGAGTCCCTGGACCCACTCAGTGGCTACCTAAGAAGACACTGTCTCCATAGAATCAACAAAAGGGCTCTCACTACATCACATGGCATTTCTAAAGAAAGACCACATTTTATTTAACAGCCCATTTCCCTTGACTGGCACTTTTATATTGAAGGCTCCCACACATCCCTGGGAAACACTGCATAGCTCCCGGCACCTCTCCAGATGGAAAATAAAAAACCTTCTGCTGCTTGCTTTACTATGAGTCAATCAGAAGTTATTTATTTTCTATAAAAACACATACAAAAAGGGACTTACTCTTGGCTAGAATTAAGGTAGCATCACTGTAACACATATCCTTGTGGGTAAGGCCACTGTGGAGAAATACTGCTCCTAAACCATTAATAATCTTAGTCATCATTCTACCCAAGACTCTCTAGAAGGTAACTACTTCTACATTACACATGGACAACAAGTTTTATTCAACCAGACTCAAAAAAGTAAGGACTGTGTTCCTCCAAGCTGATAAAATATAATTCCAAGGCGCTGAGGAAAATACTCTTTATTTCAGTCCCAAGGAACTTTTCTCCCCAAGAGTTGATTGGTCACTTTCTGTGGAAGAAAAGAAAGGGAGGAAAGAAGTTAGATATTCTTGCCATCAGAGGCAGACAGCCGCTCCTCACCCTAGACTTGCTGCTAAAGAGACCAGTGTGGTTCTCCCAAATCTTATCTTTGCCAGCTTCAGAAAATACGGTAATTATAGTAGAAAAAGTACTTCCTCAAGTGTTTGGGAAAGATGATCTACAGTCTATTATAGTCTACACAGAAACATTATATTAATATAATCCTAACAGACTAATCTGTCCGTCAGTTCACAAACACACAAGCACAAAGAGAAGCCTGGCCTTGTGATGCTGACGCACCACACACCCCACTTGAGGGAGCCCAGCCCGAGCCGCGGTGCACGCTCCAGGAGCAATTCTCCAATCCCACATGGGTCTCGTATGAACTCGTCTCTTGGTTCCTGACTTTCAGAGTCCTCTGAGGGTGAAACAAGGGGGTTGGGAAAGAAATGAGAACAGTGAAGGATCTAGACCTTCAGGTCCATCTGCTTTCTCAAGGAATTAATTGGCAGCAAGTCCCCTGGCCTGTGAGGTTCTGGGACTTGTAGCACCATTAATTCTACTGGGGCCATGGGTAGGAAATGGTGGTGACTTCAAGGTCCTGAGTCCCCAAACTACCAACTTGTATGCTACACTTGGGCATTTTCCAATTTATTTGAAAAGTTCTAGTGGTATACGATTTACCTATAAGGGACATAAAACCACCATTTGGGACTCAAATGAAAGCCCAACAATCCTGAAGGATGTGGGGATTTCCAGCATGGCATCTAAACTGACACCTAACTATGAAACTTGGTTTCACTCCAAAGGCGCCTGGAAGGTGACTTATTTATTGAATAATTTTTAAAAATTAAAGAAAAAAAAATTTTGGCCACACCATGCAGCATGTGTGATCTTAGTTCCCAACCAGGGATTGAACCTGTGCCCCTACAGTGGGAGTACAGAGTCTCAACACACTGGACCTCTAGTGAAGTCCCTGAAAGAAAGTGAAGTTGCTCAGTCGTGTCTGACTCTTTGCGACCCCATGGACTGTAGCCTACCAGTCTCCTCCGTCCAGGGGATTTTCCAGGCAAGAGTGCTGGAGTGGGTTGCCATTTCCTTCTCCAGAGGATCTTCCCAACTCAGGGATCGAATCTGGGTCTCCCGCATTGTAGGCAGACCTCACCATCTGGGCCACCAGGGAAGTCCATTTGATTTGCCTTTTTAGATTTTCAGATTTGAAATCTAGTTACAGGTGCTTTTGTCTTCTAAATTTCAGCATTGGTACAATGTATTTATTAGCTTAAGTTCACTCTCCAAATATGGTTAATTCAAACAGGTCTTGATTTCTCTTTCCCCTGGTAAACCTCATCAATCCTGCTTTACAACTGACTGACCTTTTTATACAGCTGGGCTCGCAGACGGTATGACTTATATTCTGATCTCCTCTTTTCTTCTTGTCTCTTTTTCTGTACTTCGGGAAGCTGTTCATAAATCCTTAGAAATGGTGATGGTGGAAAGACAGAAAGCAGTGAGGTTACTGACCACAGGGGCACACGATCACTTCTCCCCACGCCTCCTAAGCTCTACTGCTCTCTAGGCACTCATTCCCTCACACAGACTGTGGGCCTGTTGCGGGCCCAGCTTCCTGTTAGACACTTGGATATAAAGAACCCTGGCTAGAGTGTTCAAGACCTGGAAAGAGATACAGATAAACAAAAACATAATAAAACCCTGCTGATAGTGGTCACTTCAGCGAAAGTAGTGGAATAAAGGGTGTGGATGAACTTCTTGGCACTCTATATGTAAAAATGTATGGTTTTAATATAAGATAATGACTACGTATTACTACCATACTTCTAAAGACGAAAAATAATGCAAAAAAAGTAGAATGGGTCATATCTACAAAATGCTACACAGAGTTACAGGAAATGAAAAAAACTTATTCTGACAGAAGGAGGTCAACGAAGACCAAACAGATTAAGTTTGAGGTCGGTCCTGAAGAAGTTAGGAGTAGAAAGGAGATGGGAGGAGAAGGGAGTGTCATTAAGAACGGAGACAAGGTTTCATGGAGAGAGTGTAGGGGAAACAGAGGGGGTGAAGGTCTCGTAGTCATGTGAAAACCTTGGGCTCTGTCCATCACGGATTGGATGCCACTGATTTTAAAGAAACATGTTTTGAGGAACATGATCAAAGATGCATTTGATACATATACTTTAATTGGAAATTATCTAAATTTCCAACAAGAAAACAAATTATGGACTATAATAAAATTATCACAAAGCACAAAATGTTTCAAAGAGCTTTTATGATACGGGAAAACATTCGCAATACTCAAAATACAGTGTTAAGCAAAATAAAACAGGCTACAAACTTCTATATATAGTATGATCAACCATTTGGGGAAAAAGAAGTATTGCATTGGCCAAAAAGTTCCTTCAGTTTTAAAGTGCGAATAAAAGACATGTTTTTCATTTTCACTAAGAACTTCACTGAACAGTGTATTCACTGTTTTGTTCCACTACCGTCTGCCATTTTCCAGGCAACTTCATAATTCCATTCTCCCAAACTTTTTATCTTTTTGAGCAAAGAACTGTTTCAGGTGCCTTTCACAGTCTTCCAGGGAATTGAAAAATTTTCCATTAATATTATAAAGACAAGAATAAACATAAATCTGAAGGTGCAATATCTGGTGAATACTGCAGATGAATCAGAACTTCCCAGCCAAACTGTAACAGTTTTTTCTTGGTCAACAAACATGCGGTCTTGCGTTATCTTGATGAAAGATGATGTGTTTTGTGTTGACTGATTCAAGAGAATTAGTCTGGCTCACTTTTTGTCGAGTTTTGCTTTCAGTTGGTTTAACTGGGAGCAGCACTTGTTGGAATTAATTGTTTGGTTTTCCAGAAGCAGCTCACAATAGAGAACTCCTTCCAATCCCACCATATATACAACATCACCTTCTCTGGATGAAGATCACACTTTGGTGTGGCTGGTGGTTCATTTTGCTTGCCCCATGATCACTTCCCTTCCATGTTATTGTACAGTATCCACTTTTGATCACCCATCACAGTTTGTTTTAAAAAACAGAATGTTTTCGTTATGTTTAATAGAGAATCACATGCAGAAATATGGTCAAGGTTTTTTTCGCTTAACTTATGTGGAACCTAAATATCAAAGTGATTAACATAACCAAGTTGGTGCAAATGGTTTTTAAAGATTCAACATTTGATTTGGATATACTGAGTACATTGGCTGTCTCTCATGAGGCATAACATTGATTGTTCTCAATATCTCAATTTGATCGCTATCAACTTCAACTGATCAACCCGATTTTCCAGCAAGAAATCTCCAGCATGAAATGAAACACTGTAATCCACTTTTGATACATTTGATAAGTCGCAGCACCTTCTCCATATATTGCACAAATCTTTTTTTGCATTTCAGTTGTGTTTTTATTGCTCTTGAAATAGTTAAGTATAATATACTCAAAATTTGCTCTTTTTCTTCCATCTTCAATATTAAAATGGATACATAAAAATTCACCAATTTTGATAAGTTTTAAAATGCATTCTGATATGACAGACAGCTGTCACAATACAACCTAACAAAATTGTTTTGAAAGAAGTTAAAGACAAGTAAGTTCTACTAGAGCCATCTTCTGGAAAATACTGAATTTTTGCCAACCCACTATATGCATCTATATAAGCACAAATACTTTTTTTAAAAGACTACAAATGGTGTACACATGATTCTGAAACTTTATTTCAAGTTTCAAACTTTACTTAGATACAAGCCTAATGTATTGTATCTTTGAGATTATTTCCTTATCTCTTATTATATTGGATACAATTCCTAGAAAAAGGATTGCCTATATATAGAGCCCCAAATAAGTATTTACTTTTATTTCAAAATATTTTTATTTATATTTAAGTTTCTAACAAAAACAAGCCTGACCAAAGCATAAAAATTCCTGGCAATTCTTTGTATTTTTTATATATGAGGCATCCATACCATGATCTGCTAATTTTCATTTCCTTTTTAGAACCATAAGTGAGAAACTATTTTTATAGCTAATTTTCTCATAATGTTTTAACTAGAGCATAATGCCTTTATTCTGGGCCAAGCTATAGCTCCTGACAATTTGGTGGCCTGATTTATACTTTTATAGTTACTTATTCTTTTGGCCTTACCGTTTAGACCTCTGAATCATTTCCTTCTTTCCAATAGGCCTTTTCTTTTGGGCTGCCAGGAAGCCTAAGCAAGAGAAGAGATTTTTTAGTGGATTGTGCCATTTTTTCTTTGAAGTAAAGTATAGTTGATTTATAAGTTTTAGGTGTACAACATATTTATTCACCATTTTTAAAAGCTATACCCCATTTATAGTTATATAATATTGGTTCTATCCTCTGTGCTGTACAATACATATTTGCAGCTTACTTATGTCTGAATCTCCATGAGAGATTCATTCTCCTATCTTGACCCTCTCCTCTTCCCTTTCCCCACTAGTATAACCACTACTTTGCTCTCAATATCTGTGAGACTATTTCTTTTTTCTTATATTCTTTCAGTTCAGTTCAGTTCAGTCGCTCAGTCGTGTCCGACTCTTTGCGACCCCATGAATCGCAGCACGCCAGGCCTTCCTGTCCATCACCAATTACCGGAGTTTATTCAAACTCATGTCCATCGAGTCGGTGATACCATCCAGCCATCTCATCCTCTGTCGTCCCCTTCTCCTCCTGCCCCCAATCCCTCCCAGCATCAAGGTCTTTTCCAATGAGTCAACTCTTCTCATGAGGTGGCCAAAGTATTGGAGTTTCAGCTTCAGCATCAGTCCTTTCAATGAACACCCAGAACTCATCTCCTCTAGGATGAGCTGGTTGGATCTCCCTGCAGTCCAAGGGACTCTCAAGAATCTTCTCCAACACCACAGTTCAAAAGCATCAATTTTTTGGTGCTCAGCTTTCTTCACAGTCCAACTCTCACATCCATACCTAACCACTGGAAAAACCATAGCCTTGACTAGATGGACTTTTGTTTGTTGTATTTTTTAGATTCCACATATAAGTGATATAATACAGTGTTTATCTTCGTCTGACTTATTTTACTAAGCATAATAACCTCCAGATTAATCCATGTTGTTCCAAATGGCAAAATTTGATTCTTTTTTATGGTTGAGTATCAAGTGGTGTCACCATATCAGCCCCTAAAAACTGTGGACCTGTGACTTATGTTTCCATACCAGACCCTGAAAGCTGGACATTTGCCCTGATTTATCTCTGTATTCATTTCAAAAGTACCTGGCATTTGGCAGAGATGTTTCACAGGACTTTGAGATACATGCTTTGAGAGATATATAGAGGTCAACTGCCCCAAACCAGTTCTGACTTGGACACAAGAACGAGCCTGTGTAGATGCAACCAGGAAGTGTCCAAAACTGACTTTTGCTTCATTAACAAGCTAAGGTCTCTGTCCAAAGGGTGCATTTGTACTCTGCTAGGTACAAAGTTCCAAAGAATAGCAAGGAAAGAAAAGAAAGCCTTCCTCAGCAATCAATGCAAAGAAACAGAGGAAAACAATAGAATGGGAAAGACTAGAAAAGTAGAGATACCAAGGGAACATTTCTTGCAAAGATGGGCTCAATAAAGGACAGAAATGGTATGGCACTGACAGAAGCAGAAGATATTAAGAAGAGGTGGCAAGAATACACAGAAGAACTGTACAAAAAAGATCTTCACGATCCAGTTAATCACAATGGTGTGATCACTCACCTAGAGCCAGACATCCTGGAATGTGAAGTCAAGTGGGCCTTAGGAAGCATCGCTACAAACAAAGCTAGTGGAGGTGATGGAAATCCAGTTGAGCTATTTCAAATCCTAAAAGATGATGCTGTGAAAGTGCTGCACTCAATATGTCAGCAAATTTGGAAAACAGCAGTGGCCACAGGACTGGAAAGGTCAGTTTTCATTCCAATCCCAAAGAAAGGCAATCCCAAAGAATGTTCAAACTACCGCACAATTGACTCATCTCACACACCAGCAAAGTAATGCTCAAAATTCTCCAAGCCAGGCTTCAGCAATACATGAACCGTGAACTTCCAGATGTTCAAGCTGGTTTTAGAAAAGGCAGAGGAACCAGAGATCGAATTGCCAACATCCACTGGATCATCAAAAAAGCAAGAGAGTTCCAGAAAAACATCTACTTCTGCTTTATTGACTATGCCAAAGCCTTTGACTGTGTGGATCACAATAAACTGTGGAAAATTCTGAAAGAGATGGGAATACCAGACCACCTGACCTGGCTCTTGAGAAATCTGTATGCAGGTCAGGAAATAACAGTTAGAACTGGACATGGAACAACAGACTGGTTCCAAACAGGAAAAAGAGTACATCAAGGCTGTAAAGTATCACCCTGCTTATTTAACTTACATGCAGAGTACATCATGAGAAATGCTGGGCTGGAAGAAGCACAAGCTGGAATCAAGATTGCCGGGAGAAATATCAATAACCTCAGATATGCAGATGACACCACCCTTATGGCAGAAAGTGAAGAGGAACTAAAAAGCCTATTGATGAAAGTGAAAGAAGAGAGTGAAAAAGTTGGCTAAAAGCTCAACATTCAGAAAACTAAGATCATGGCATCCAGTCCCATCACTTCATGGGAAATAGATGGGGAAACAGTGGAAACAGTGGCTGACTTTTATTTTTTCGGGCTCCAAAATCACTGCAGATGGTGACTGCAGCCATGAAGTTAAAAGACGTTTACTCCTTGGAAGGAAAGTTATGATCAACCTAGACAGCATGTTAAAAAGCAGAGACATTACTTTGCCAACAAAGGTCTGTCTAGTCAAGGCTATGGTTTTTCCAGTGGTCATGTATGGTTGTGAGAGTTGGAGAGAGAGTGAGTGCCAAAGAATTGATGCTTTTGAACTGTGGTGTTGGAGAAGACTCCTGAGAGTCTGTTGGACTGCAAGGAGATCCAACCAGTCCATGCTAAAGGAGATCAGTCCTGGGTGCTCATTGGAGGGACTGATGTTGAAGCTGAAACTCCAATACTTTGACCACCTGATGCGAAGAGCTGACTCGTTTGAAAAGACCCTGATGTTGGGAAAGATTGAGGGCAGGAGGAGAAGGGGATGACAGAGGATGAGATGGTTGGATGGCATCATCGACTAAATGGACATGAGTTTGGGAAGGCTCGGGGAGTTGTTGATGGACAGGGAGGTCTGGCATGCTGTGGTTCATGGGGTCACAAAGAGTCGGACACGATGGAGCGACTGAAGTCAACTGAACTGAGGCACAATCTTTACCATGTGCAAAGGACCACGGAGGATTGTGCATGCCCTGGCTGCCCCTGAAAATCTCTGCCCCTTTCCTCAAGCCCTAATCAACCTATCTACCCCCTAACCCTTCAGTTCCCTTACTCCGCTCCTCTTTGGACATGAGCTCTACTGGGACTTCCCGGGCAGCCCAGTGGTTAAGACTTCACCTTCCAGGGCACAGGGTGAGGGTGCAATCTCTGGTCGGGGAGCTAAGATCCCACATGCCTCTCGGCCAAAAAACCAAAACGTAAAACAGAAGGAATATTGTAATGAATTCAATAAAGATTTTAAAAATGGTTCACATCGAAAAAATCTTTAAAGGAAGAAAACAAAAAAACCATGAGCTCTCCTTTCTCCATTCCGTGATCAGTGTATAAAGCTAATGTTCTGCTATGCTGAACCTGGTCTCATTCAATTGACAACTGTGACTCTGGGCAAAGGATCCATTGAGGCGATCCTGACCCTTAGGGGATTGGTAACAGAGGCTTGTGTCTTAAGAAGGAAGGGTGTGTTGCTCAAGAACTGTGAGAGGGAGCAGCTAGGACTTCGTGCCCCTACCCTGAGCTGGCAGTGCAGGCTGGTGAGCAACGGCCAAAGCCAGGGTTAGACGATGATGACCATGACAGCAGCCTAAGGCTCCTGAAGACAGAACACTGGCACAGACTAAGCAGTGTGAACTGAAACACTGACCTGTTTACAGGTAAGGCAGTGATTAAAGCATTAGGGAGCACTTTACAGTTTTCATAGCTTTCACATATTATTTTATTGAGAAATTACATCTAGCATAATTGTTATGAGCACAGAGTCTTGCACCAGCCCACTGGGGTTCAAATCCGTTTGGGCAAGGTACTTAATCTCTCTTTGCCTCAGTTTTCTCATTTGTGAAACAGGGATATTAATAGTATTCACCCCAGAGAAGTGTTACAAGCATTAAACAAGAATAATGTCTGAGCAAAACCTAAGAGCTATATAAGTATTTATTATTATTATTATTACCCTTTGAGGGAAGCAAGCCCCATCAAAACATTATTCTTTTGGAACTAACTTGCTCATGGTGACAAAGCTGGTTTTTAAAAACACCATTCTCAGAAATTCCCTGGTGGTACACTGGTTAGGACCCCACATTTTCACTGCCGAGAACCTGGGTTCAATCCCCGGTCAGGGAACTAAGATTCTGCAAGCCAAGTGCCCATTCTCATCGCACACTCTCATTTTTAAGATGTAGTGACAGGGCAAGATTAACTATGCTTTTCTGGATCATGGAAGTGCTGAGAGCTTAATTAGGCAGGTTCTGCTATCTAAGGAGATTTGAGTCTCAACAAGCACAAGTCTCTTTCTGAACTGTAACTGGTCTGGCATTGAGCAGTGCCACCTTGCATGAAGCAGACCTTGCCCTCTCCACCAAGTAACCAGAAAGTGCACAGGCAGAGTGTACCTCTCCTATGGAGCAGGTGCACGGGGTCCCGGTAGCCCTGCCATTCTTGCACAGTGTTGAAGAGTGCCTCCCGCTCACTCTGTAGCATATTCTGCAGCTTCCTCTCCTGGACTATTAACTTCAGGCGCTTTATCCGTTCCCCAGAGCGGGAGATGAAGTCCGGTCTGTGAAGCTGAAGTGATTCCTGAGGAGAAGAAAAAGCCCCCAACCTCATATTAATGATGCAGGCTTTTCTCCAAGGGCCTAGAAAAACCATACCTGCCCAGCAGGTTTGGAAAGCCTGTTTGTAACTTACAGAAAATACTTAGAGCTGAAGGATGATCTAACAATTCCCTGAGTAGGAGAGTTCCAGTAGGAAAATCAGAGGGATCAAAGAAATGCCTTTGGAATAAGTCAAGAACTAAGATTATGGCGATTACAACTCTCCCCTATGTGGATGGGATAAAGTTTGGCTCACTGTGCGATTTTAAATTTCCCTTCAAAGAAATACATCATTAAATAACATTTTCTTTGACTCCCAAGTACTTATAAAAAAGAGACCCTGTGCTAAGTAGAAATAGGAGTTATATAAATGGAGGAACAAATATAAGACTGATACAAACATCAGGCCTCTACTACACTCCACGTGCAGATATCTACCTACAAACCCAATGAGCAGCTGCACAACATCTTCCCTTCTATTGCCTTGCCCTGCTCAGATACTGAGGGTGATACGTGATTTATAACACTAACAGTAAGGCAGCCTTTGATTAATGAGTGTGAGAACAGATTAACTGTGGAGGTGCCAGAAACAAGGGTCACATGACTATACTTCAGCATGCCAAGTCACAGGTTTACCCTTTCTTCCTCCTTAAACATACAGCTAAAATTAATTCAATCTCACTGTACCTGGAGGGTTGCTCTCACAAATGGCTTCAGTGGATCTTTGCCTGGGCCGGCTAGTGAACTGTGACTGTCCATGTTCTGTCCCTGCCAGTTCTGTTCCCGCAGTGGCTCTCTCCAAGGTTTGGTGTTGGTTATTGGTGCAAACCAGGAGACACCAGGGCCATGAAGCTTGGGCATGTTTTCCTTCTTAGGACCAGACTTCATATTTTCCACAGGAACAAACCATGAAACTCCTATAAGAAATATTTTTAAGAAAGAAAAAAGATTTTTCATTTTTCTCATCAGAAACATATGCATAATATAGGCTCTCAGGGAATCAGCTGTCAGGGGCCAGCAAAATGCCCTAGAGTCTGCTTACTGCAGGTATATAGACTCTAACTGTAGCGTTAAATACAGTCAGCCCTCTGTATACATGCATGCAGAATCCCTGCATTTGAGGGACAGTGCTATGTCATTTTATATAAAAGACTTGAGCATCCACAGCCTTTGGTATTCAGTAAGGGTTCTCAATCCAAGCCCCTCCAGATATACAGAGATGACTGTACTTTGAAAATGGGCCAAAGTGGTGCTGGGGGAAGATGGAGTCAACATTAACTTGTTTAGAAACAAAGAATCCTAGCACTGCAAGAGAACGGAAATTCACAAGTTTTTCTACTGAGAAAGCAGGACTTAGAAACTGACCTTCACAGCAGCTCTTCTTGTTCTTTAACTTTTTGTCCCCAAGATAATTGGTAAGGAGCTTCTTCTCTTCTATTTTTTCTTCTGACCAAGAAGTCACATCACTGTCCTCTTCTACTCTAGCCTCACTAGAACTTGGAGTTGGGAAAGTCATTCCAACATCTCGAGTGTTTTCTCTGACACCACTCACAATCTCCAAGTTACCTGAGGGTAAAGATCACAGACTTCTCTGAGAAAAGCCTTGAGATTTAGTTGGCAGGTGCATTTAAGTCAGTAAATGAAAACTTAAAAAGAATTAATCATTTATTTTCTATTCTGTAAAGAAAAAGAATTGAGATCTATAATCTTCATAACTACATCTAGTAAAATAGGGAATTCCCTAGTGGGCCAGGGGTTAGGGTTCAATGCTTCCACTATAGTGGGCACAGGTTTGACTCCTGGTCAAGGAACTAAGATCCCACATGTTGTGCAGCGTGGCCAAAAGAAAAAGTAAATAAATAAATAAATCTGGTAAAATATTCAAAACAATCATTGAGACACATTTTTAACAAGTATTATCATGTAAAAATATTTGTTGAAGATAGTGCTCTGAATGAATATAAGCAAAAAGACAATGCAAGCAGAGTTGAAAGATGATATAAACCATTTTGGAATCACATTATTTGATTTACTACATCAAGCATCTTCAAAATTTTATTGTAATTTCAGATATGTGAGATATCTCATTTTTAAGAACAAATTTGAGTTGTATTTTCTCTTATTGCCATCAGAAAGAATCCTAAACTATGATAAGTGATATACACGTTTTTCTTATTATGATGTCTGCATAAAGAATGGTAGTTTCACTGCTGCCTAAACTATTACCACTAGTTTTTTTTTTTATTCCACTTCAGTAAATTAAACAAATTTTAAGGTTTGAGAACCGCAGGCTACTGCCTCCTCTTCGGTGGGGTGAAGAGAAGAGAAGAGGGTGAGAAGACAAGGAATACGAGGGCAGAGAGATGGAGATGTGTGTGTCTGTGGGAGGAGCTCACTTCTGTCAGCTTAGATACTAGACGGAAAGCACTACTAATACGGAGTCACTGGGAAAAAGATTTCAGTTCTGATCCCAAGTAAGAAGGACAGTAAACACAGTCACCAAGGTGAGGAAGAGGTTAACAGACGTAGAGACATGACTTGAAGGGAAAAATAATCAAGGGGCAGGTTCACTTCTGTTTTATAAAAGCAAAACATATAGGAAGTCATAAAGTGAGAAGCCTCCTTCCCATTCCTGTTCTCCATTAAGTTTATAACCCTGTGATTCCAGAGAATTTCTGCACACATTCACGCAATTCTCTTCATTTTTCAAATACATGTAGTAGCATGCTACATACTATTTTGTACTTTGCCTTTTCTTTTTAATTATGTATCTTGGGGATCTTGACACATTAGTAGCAAAAGCTACTTCATACTATGTAGGACTTCATTATGTGTGTTAGTCGCCCAGTTGTGTCCGACTCTTTTGCAACCCCGTGGACTGTAGCCCACCAGGCTACTTGGTTCATGGGATTCTCCAGACAAGAGTACTGGAGTGGGTTGCCATTTCCTTCTCCAAAGACTTAATTATATAGATATGCAATAATTTATTTAACAATTTAGCTACTGATGGACATCTAAGTTGATTTTACTTTTCTGCTTATAATAAAATAATACTTCAGAGGTTAGTTCTGTCATTAACCATTTGTCATTTCACACATATGCATCATATATCTATAGGCCAAACTCCAAAAGTAAAAGTGCTGGGTCAAAGTAGTTTTGATAGAAACTGCCAAGTTGTTAGTCATAAGGGCTGCACTCCCAACTTACACGCCAACTAGAATGTACCTATTTCCTTACATGCTTGCCCACAAACTTGCTATCAAACTTAAATTTTTGTCTATCTGACAGGTGACAAATGGCATGAATATATATTTTTTATTAATTAAAAAAATTTACTTATTTATTTCTTTTTGGCTGTTCCAGGTTTTAATTGTGGTGCGCCAGCTCAATAGTTGCCCTGCAGCATGTGGGATCTCAGATCCCCGGCCAGTGACTGAACCCATGTTCCCTGCACGGCAAGGCAGATTCTTAACCACTGGACCACCAGAGAATATACTTGAGTATATTTAGAATATACTCGAGTATATTTTTAATCTTCATTTCTTTTGTTGTGAGTGACGTGAGTGTCTTATCACAGGTTAAAGAGCTACTTATATTAATATTTCAATGAAAATGTTTAATTTACCTGCTTGTATGCCCTTATTTAACATATGTGCATTTTGCTTGTTGCAAAGGGTAGAGTTCGAGCTCCAGAAACTACTGGTAGAAGATGAAACAGAGTCAGAAGAGACACGGTCTGTCACCTGGAAAAACAAGAGAGATCCTGTTACCATTACTTGTGGTCAATGGCCTAGTTACCTACAGAATAAGAAAATATACAAGTCACCAAGAGCCCTTTCTAATCCAGTTCACATGGTTGAGATGACATTGCCAGGAAGCTTGCAGCAATGTGAACATGCTACTACGTATTTTGTGATAGAGAGGTGGATGCTGTAGTTACATACGGACTCAAGCTGTTTTAAGAAGCTAAGACAAGACTGGGTATGTTCCCAGGACTTGAAAAGACTCTGAAGTGGGTGCTAGACAAAGATTAGCCTGGTGTGTCTTGAGAATGAAATTCTGAAGTGACAGTACCACAGAACTGATAAGAAAGAGGGCAGAGGATAACTAAAGAGGCTGAGTGGTGAACTGCAGAGAGTGCTTTCCAGTAAGATCCAACTTAGGCATTTATTCAAGGATAAATGCCAAAAAGCTTAAAGGCCCTATGAGAAGTCCTAAATGTGAGGAATATAGCAAAAAGCACTTGAATATTTGAGCCCCAAAGGTTTTTTAGTTAAATTCAGAGCAAGTAGAGCAATGAAGGGAGCTGATGGTGGAATGTTTGTGAATAAGCAAAAGATTACCAAAATATAGTAAAAAAAAAAAAATTTAATATAAAATGGTATTTCTTAAACTGGTTCATCACAACACTCTCCTGAGGAAGGGTCCTAACCCAGAACAATGAATTGGAGGTTATAAGTGAGGGGTCTGGGAATCTACATTTTGAATAAATGCCAGGTGCCTGTCTGATTAAGGACGTTTTGTAGAGTAAATTGAAGCCCAAGTCACGAAAGGAAACAGAGCGTCTCCTTCCCTGAACTAGACAAACTATATTTCAGGACCTTCAGGGAACTTGCAACAGATCCAGCAGCAGAGGAGCTATGTTAAATGTCTGGAGACAGAAAATTAATGTTTTAAAAGATAAGCATAGCAAACTGCAGGCTTTAAAAATGATGATGTGTAAAATTCTAGAATGGATCACAAACTGTATAATTTGCAAGCCTATCCAGGTTAAAAAAAAAAAAAAAGATCAGCAAATTTTAGCCAAGGTTCACTAAAGCAGTCAGAATAAAACCCTGCCAGCTTAGCCTTGTTTTTCCTAGTAGACATGGTCATTTAACTGGTAGACCAGACTATATAGCAGATAACTAGATTTGAATAAAACAACAAAACTTCTCATAGCATACTTGAGGGCAAGATGGAGTTACAGGCGCTGAAGGATAAGTTGATGGAACCAGCTTTCCCATATAAAACATCCGGAAGGGCCTAAACGGTTGTCAGGATCCCTAATAATAATAGGAATGATAGGCCAAATCAAACAAGGGATAATTGTAAAGCCTTATGCATCAGGCAGAAGAATGGCAATAACTTTGATACAGTAGAAAAAGCTGTGAGTCTGGAGTCCAAATACCTAAACCAGTCTCAGATCTTCCCTTTACTAGCTGTCTCTACTTGAGCAAGCCATAATCTCTGTTGCCAGTTTCCCCATCTAGAAAAGGGAACAGCTGCATTCCTGAAATTATGGAAGTGTTACAAAGAACAAATGATTTAGACACAAAAAAATGTAAAAAGCTAATACAAAATTAGGAGACAAAGATCATGTTAAACCAATATGTATGAAAGTGTGGTGAGGCAGATTTGACTGACTGGTAATACACTATAATTTTTCTGCAGCTGTTTTTTTAAAAAGGGGAGAATAATTTACACACTAAAATGGACTTTCAATATAAATTGTCAAATACAAAAAGCAAAGTTTGCTGTCATTTCTGTGAAAAGGGAAGAAAATATATGCAATATATACAGTTACTTGCCTTTTATGTACAGAATACCTAAGAAAGAAAAGAACCCAGATTGGGAAGGAAGAAGTAAAACTTTTTATTTGCAGATGACATGATGCTATCTGTAGAAAACACTAAGGAATCTACAAAGTATTAAAACAAAAAAGTTCAGCCAGATTGTAGAATATAAGGTCAACAAGATAAAAAATCAATTGTATTTCTATATTCTAGCAAGGTGCAATCTGAAAATAAAATTAAGGAAACAAACCACTCACAGTAGCAACAACAAGAATGAAATATCAGGGAATAAATTTAACAACAGAAGTGCAAGGCTTGTACAATGAAAACTATAAAACACTGGCGGGAGAAATTAAAGGTCTAAATAAGTTGTGAGATATTCCATGTATGTGGAATGGACAAAAGACTTGAATGGATATTTTACCAAAGAAGATATAAGAGTGGCCAATAAACATATGAGAAGATTTCAACACTATCAGTCACGAGGCAAACGAACTGAAGTCACAGTGAGATGCCACCTTACACCCATGAGGATGGCTGTGACCAGAAAGATGTGCAGCGCTGAGTGTTGGCAGCGAAGTGGAGAAGCTGGAACCTTCACAACCTGCTGTTGAGAACGCAAAATGATACAGCTGCTTTGGAAGACACTTTGGAATTTTCTTAAAAACTAAACATAAACTTATCATACAACCCAGCAATTCCACTCCTAGGTATATACTCAAAAGAAATGATTCCACATAAAATTTTTTGTGTCCACACAAAAACGTCTACACAAACATTCATAGCAGTATTATTCATATTATTCCACCCCCCCAATCAAACAATCCAAGTCTCCAACAACTGGCAATCAGATAAATAAAATGTGGTAGAGCCACACAATACTAATCAGCAATAAAAAGGAGCACTGATACATACTATAAGGGTGAATCTTGAAAATATGCCTAAAAAGCTAGACACAAAAGACTAGCTATTATATAACTCCATTTATATGAAATATGCAGAAAAAAGGAACATGGGAGTGTGTCGGGCTGGGAATGTGAATTGGTTATAAACAGGTATGAGACTTTTCTGGGTGACAAAAGTGTTCTAAAACTGAATTGTGGTGATGACTACATGGCTCTGTAAACTTACTTCAATAAAGCTGTTTAAAAATCTCTAAATATATGCAAGAACTAGTAATACTGAGTAACTCTGAAAAGATGGGTGCCTAGGGAACAGGAGAGGGAAGATACTTTATCAAATACTTATATATTTTAAATTTTGTACCATGTAATTGTATTATCAGTTTAAAAAATGAGAATAAATAAAACAAAAATAAGGAAGTGTGGCAATAAAGGTTTAATGGCTTTGATGAGTTCAATAGGAGTAAAACATGTTTTATGTTTTATGCCATAGAAGTGTTCTAGTTTACAAAAAGTGAAAAGTGAAGTTGCTCAGTCATGTCCGACTCTTTGCAACCCCATGGACTGTAGCCTACCACACTCCTCTGTCCATGGGATTTTCCAGGCAAGAATACCGGAGTGGGTTGCCATTTCCTTCTCCAGGGGATCTTCCCAATCCAGGGACCGAGCTCGGGTCTCTTGCATTGCAGGCAGATGCTTTACCAGTTTACAGAAAGGAGAATGATAAATCTGCTGTCACTATCTAAGGCACAGCATATGTAATTCAAAGGGACATGTTTAAAAAGAGGATATCAACAAATAGACCCAGAAGCTCCCAACTTAGGAAAGTGGAGTATAAAGGATGACCTGTGAGAAGTGGTTCAATGAGTGAAGGCCTGAGAGAAAATACTTCAGGGATGGAAGTGGGGGCCTGAGATGTAGATTAGATCTCTTTTCTGTGCCTTCATAGGGCAGAACTGGGAACAGAGTCAGGAAATCTAATACAGGCAGATTTTGGATCTTTTTAAAATATCAAAACCTTTGCCAACTAGTGCCTAGACAAATGAAATGAGATGCCAATGAGCAGTGAGTGAGTGGTGGAGCTGTTGAAGCAGAGGCTGGAGCACCTTATGGGGCAGAGGCAGCAGTGTGGATGGTCCTTTCCAAAAATAAGTCTGAGGACCTCCTGCACTTCCAAAGTACACAACTGGTCATGGTATGCACCACTGGGTGTGAAAGAACACACATCTACATCTGATTAAATGAGGAGTCTTGGTATGCATGTTTCTGCTTCCAGTTTAAATCTTTCTGATTAAGTTCATTCCTGCCTGTAAAAAGGTAAACATTTAAAAATAGAAAATAGTCTAAAAATAAATTCTTGCTCAACCAGATATATCTAGTTAACCCTCTAGTATGGTGAAAATCAAAAGGCCAGACAAAAACAAGTGTTTTCAAGGATATGGAGAAATGAGAACCTTCACATATTGATGCTTGGAATGCAAAATAGTAAACAATATTTTGCGTAACAATCCGGTGGTCCCTCAGATGGTTAAATATAGACTTACCATATGATCCATAGTCTATCCACTTGTAGGCATATGCCCCAAGAAATATAAGCTCTGTCCACATAGAAACTTGTACATGGATGTTCACAGCAGCTCTGTTAATAGGAGCCCCACAGTGGAAGAAATCTCAATGTCCATTAACTAATGAATAGCTAAGTAAAAAATGTATATTCATACAATGGAATATTATTTGGTCATACAAAGGAATGGACACATGCTACATTATAGATGACCTTTGAAAATATTAAGTGAAAGAAGCCAGTCACAAAAGATCACATATTATGTCCATTTACAAAAAATGTTTAGAATAAAGAACTCAAGAGAGAGAGGAAAAAAAGCAGATTAGTAACACAGCCAGGGAAGGGGCAAGAAATTGGAAGAAATGACTGCTAATGTGTATAGGGTGTTTGTGGTAGGTACTGAAAACACCTTAAAATTAAATTGGGATGATGGTTGCACATCACTGTGAATATACTAAAACCCACTGAACTGTACACTTAAAATAGCTGAATTTTATGGTGTGTGAAACACCTCAAGAAAGCTATAAAATGTGTATATTCATGTATGCAAACTGAAATACAAGCAGATTATGAAGTCTTTATTTGGAGAAAAAATGCTGCTCATGCTTGGTGGTCTTATATCTTCTGTTATTGAACCAGGGATACAAGAACAAAGGAAGGTACCAAAAATGTCATTTTCATATAATAGTGAACAGTCCTAACAAAAATGTGGGCACTGGATA